CTAATGAGGGTTATACCATTTTGATTATTCCAGATGACTGTGATATGAGGGCGCATAAAGTTCTTCAGTTGAAAACATGCATGCATACAGGCAAATTGTCAAGTATTTCCGTCTTGTATCTACTCCTATGCGACTAAAGAGACGACACGCATGCCAAGTGGTCCCTCGGTACAATAGCCATTTGCTCAAAGACCAGTTCCCTCTTTTGCTAGTTCCGGTTGCATATAAGAGTTTGGGCAGTCTGTCTCAATGGGATATTTCACTAAGTGCTTTCTGTTTTTCCCACGAAGTTATGCGACATCGAAGTAGAGAACGGGGACAAAGATTGTGATGAGGGTTCAAATCATACCGTGGCTCGGTGGTATCGGGTGTTACATTGCTAGTCAGTCTTTTCATAGAACTTACCAGTATCGACAGGTCTAATGATTTCACCCATTAACCCCGTAAATGGTGTTTACACATTTACAGTTAGCCCGCTCCAATTGAGTGAGTTGTGTTCTTCCTAAACCAGGGGCGCACATTTGAAACGAAGATCAAAGAAGATATTTCAATAATGTATGGTTGGTCTTCACTAGTCTAACGCAATGATGTCTTTTATTGATTTGTGAAACGCTGAAACTTTAGAACTCCGTAAACTCTGAAATCTCGTTCCATTTCTTGTCCAACTGGTATTTTCTACTGCATGTTTTAGGCCGTATAACTTTTCTGATTTGAAGTTGAATTGTGTGACAGTTTTACCGCAACAGGCCTATCTGTTCATTATTGTAGTCAGTGTACTGAAATATAGACATTCTCTGACCAAAGGCTTTTCAAAATAAGCAAACTTTAGATCAAAAATAGAGTCTTTCATCTCAATCAACTGTATCGAAACTGCCTTGGTTCTTGGGTAGAAGAAAAATTATGTTTGGTCATCTAATTTACTTAATCAACCTGCGACAGATGTTAATGTTCTTAACAGATCTTTTATACCAACAATCAGATACTTCAATACCTACCGAGCGACCAGATGAATCCCAGTTTGCCCATGATTATCGGCGAACAAGGTGTCCTGAAAATGTTGTCAGCCAAAAGCAGTAACAACCCCTCCCCCATTGCTGAGGATCATCATCGTTCCCCTAGGAGGTTTATGCTAATAATCTCCACGAGACATTTTCATCCTTGTTTGTCCCTTGTCCATCTGCAGGAAAATGACGAATAGTGTTAGTATTGTTAGCAAAATTTAATATCCATCCGATCATCCCCGCATTGCTAGTCAGTTATGACTCCACGTTGACATACCGCAATTCCAAGTTGCCTAGTTTCATAACACACGAGTTAGAACAATAAATTTTCAAGGACTAATGTATATACCCTTTCTCTTTAGCAAATTAAATGTTTTCACGATGAAGGTGCGTTCAGCTTCTCTGATGATTTATCTTACATTTAATTGCACATCATTATACGACGGACTCTAAAAGGAATACCCCCCCCCCCGTCAGTCGTGATGATCCACTATTTCCTTGAGATAACACAAACCCCGGAACTTGCTTTGGCGAACCAACTAATTCCCCAAGAGGCTTAAAGTCATATCGAGACAGGTGGTAGAATAGAAATTCATCTAGGAACCTTGTAGACAACTAAACAATGAATGACTGAACTGACTTGTTTTGGGTTCTTTTTGCATAGGATTCCCCAATTGACACTCAAAATGTATCAGATTAAGGAAATCTAATCTCTGTTTTGAACCTTTAAACTAGTTTTTCAGTGAATGAAAAGAACAATTGCTAATTATATGACTCTCTAGGCGGTCTCGAACTGCGTGAGGAGATTCTCACCAATCAGAAAGAAAAAGGCGCACCTCGAAATCAAATAAAGGGACCGCTGAGTGCCGATGACGCTATCCGAATGAGTGACTCGTTGGAGAATCTGGGTTCAATTACCACAACAACCACAATGCCGGCGTTCAGTGCCAAAGGCAGAACTGTCGAATTTCGCTCGTATGCATCCAGATTGAGACGAGACATGCCTGCGTTATCGCGAATTGACCAATTCACCTTGTCTTCATCGACGGGTAGACATTTGCGATTTGCCTCCCAATCCGACTCCGAAATGATTTTACCCCCACTCTGCGAAGATTCTGAAACAGACGACGGTGCGTCAATGGATGAGGCAGAGTCGATAGCTCAATTGCATAAACGCCGTGAAAGTGATGACAATAGTTCGCTTCACAAGCGTATTCTCAAGGCTCTGTTGAAGCCACCTCGACTATCGAAGAAGAATACCGGGGGTAAGTTTGCATTCGGACCAACGAAAATCGCTTCTGATTGTGAACATATTTTACGCGCGTGTTCGTGCTTTCAACTTTGACGTTTTTCTCATTTAGACCGATTTGAAGCGATGATTATTGTGTGCACACGCTCGTTTGACTTGATATCAATAGACAAGCAGTCATACTCGCATCAGTGAATCCTAAAATGTATTGTTATGTTCACTAGTACAATTCATTATGACAAACGAGCGGGACAACATCGTTGTCCAAAACTCAACGTTTCTTCCCATCATGCTCCAACCTTTCAGGTAGTCCACTCTCCTCACCTACTCATCTCCGCACACACCCTAAGAATCCTTTAGCGAGAGACAAAGGCTGCAAACTAGACAGTATGACATTTCAAGTGAGTAATGGAGGATTTCATACAATTTCAAAGGTGTATATAGTAAACGAAGCGTGAACTGAAAAGCTAAGAGGTATTGGACAGCTGTTTCGACCTGGCTCGGTCTCATCAGCAATGCGAATCCATCGAACCAGGGATCAAACCCGGGACTTCATGCTACCAACTCGGTCACTGGACAGCTGATCAGACCGTTTTCATTTTCCATTTACACGGTATAGCACAACCCATCTTTGCGAGCTTGATGCGGGCCACATACCCTACTCAACTCACCACTAGCCTCCGGGTTATGACATTTGCAAGAAACTCAATGGATAGGTTGTGCCGTTTCACACATTGCAACAGTGCCATTGTTGTCAATAGTATTCAACAATATGAAATGCTTCCTCAAGAATCAGTTTAATCATTCATTATTTTTTATGAAAAACATCGAGTTTTCCGAACTCCTGTAGATAAATTAACGAAAGCTTTTCAGTTTTGTACGGAGCCATTTAGCTAATTGCATAATCACTTGATGGTTTTACCGAATTGCGTAATTTGGTACTCATGAGTAGTCCAAACACAACTCAAAACATTATTCAACACAATATGTATTCAGTTAACTTGCAAAAATGTATCAGAAAGTGTCATTTTCTTGGCGTAAGTTTTCTACTTATTTGGAAAATGTCCCGCAAATATCATTGCAATACACTTTGACTTGTGTGATTATGAAGATATTGTGCGAAAATTTCATTTCATACTGAAATTGTATCATTTTTATTCAGTCGACGAGCCATATGAACGCCAGTTGATGCCTCCACCGTCAGAATCTGTGGTAATTAAATCAACCAAAAAACGCCGCACGATTGTAGTCGGAAAAAAACTAAAACAGATTTTTACTGGCAGCACAAAAGAGACTACAAGATCAACGGGATCATCGGGTACGCGTACACCAAGCACCGACTCTTCATCGGAGACGAATTCGTTCTGCTCCCTACCTGCTCCGTCTAGACCACCACCACCGAGACGTCCCCCACCACCACGTCCTCCGCCACCTGAGTTAGAGCAGGGGGCCTTGGTGGCAAACAGGGCAATGAAAACAAACGCTGCAGTTCGTGGAACAGCGACTGCAAAGCTCGGTCCACCACATAAAGTACGCAAGATTGAGACTGTGGACGGGACGAATGAACAAGTGGTTGGTAAGTCCTTCTTCTTATATAAGTAAAACAAATCTACTTCTCTATGTTGTACCCAAAATGAATAATTCAATGGTTTTTTAACTTCGTTTAATTCTCCTAAGTTGCAAAAGGATTTATTGAATGTCAGATTCATTATCCTTGAGGTGAATTGTCAACTTCATCCGTTACAATAAGTGTAATCTAAGTAGCAACGAGAAAGTCTCGTTAATTGTAGGTTGAGGCTAAATCATTACGGATTTTAGTTAAAGGATTGTGGTTTAATGCTGAAGAAGTGAGAGTTTTGGCTAACGCTTGATGGGGAAATATGTATGTAAATGGCAGTAGAAAAGCTACCATTCTGAACGACATCATTGTATTTCCACAACCCCCTCCAGATTCTATTGCGCTGTTCTGCATGGGAGAAGATAAAAATTCCTCAACAGGGGCGACTTGGAGTAACTCCTGTCTGTATCGTGAGAGATAAAGTCAGATAAAATTGAGTTCACATTGTCTTGACATTCTTGCTGCAAAGGGCCCATGAATCCCGTTTGCATTCCAGTCTACTCACGTGATCATGACACTACAAGTTTGCAAAACATTTTGTTCGTGATGCCTCGTTGACTATTTACACGCGTTGCTTTTAAACTTTTATAAATCACAATGGAAAGAGTGGAGGGACAAATAGAAAACAGTGTTAACTGTAGGTTATTATAATGTAAGTGTAATAACTTATATTCATGAACTGTATGCGTGTCATTAACTATATGCTTGAGTGAATTGGGGAGGATCAGGAACGAAATTGGAAAACCTTATATCTGTGCCAAATGTTTCTGAATATATAGTATTGGAGACGTTGAAAGAGGATGGCAAATAGTTTTGATCGTAGTTAGGAATGGAAACTCCATCGTTTACAATCACTTTCGTTTGATCGTATAAAGAGAACAGAACAATCGACGACTCATCATGCCCATCGCTCCAGTTGCAGGCTTTATTTGATTTGCTCATTTTTCGGGGTTTGCGTAGGGTGGTTCGTAGCTGCTATCATATAGAATTGTCACCGTTCGGCGTTTGCAGATTATTTCACAACTTTAAGTAGTTTACTATATATTGGAACATGGTTCCATCCATCGGTGAACTCCCTGTAAGAAGCAGACTGTTTGCGACTTTCATCTGCTGTGACTCCTTTGAATGACAAAAAAGATGTCAACCAGTTTCCATTCACTTTTTCATACAATGATTTAGATATGTTGTGTATCGTAATTTTGACGATGAAAAGAGCAAGCTATTCATTTTGTCCACGTATTTCTGGTTCTTTTCGATTCATTGTCGATAGTGCCTTCAAAATACACTATCAAAACTATATTCGTCAACCAGTAAATGTTTCTTCGCATATACGTAGATGAAGCCTACGTTAAAAACTATTTTCTTGTTTAAATTAGTCTAAGTTGACAACTTTCACGTTAGGCTGGCTGTCACAAAACCATGGATACGAACAAATTCTCATTCAAGAAGTCCCATTCCAGCATAATGGTGCTTTTTATCAAATGGACGTTTTAAGAAATTCACAACGATTTCTGATCCACATGTAGAGGATATTCTCGTGGGCTGACATACAAAGTACATTTAGAAGATGAAGAAAAATTCTAAAAAACCCATGCGTTATACTTGGCATTGATTCAACAGTCGAATGACTTTTGTGCAAAGAGAAAAGTTGCAGTTTTGGCATGTGCATTTTGTAACTCATCACAGTTCGCAAAAACAGTTACAGCTCATTGAATTACAATAGGTAGATGATGTATGATTGCTTTCTGTTGAAGACCTGAGTGAGCAGTGTGCTTGCCTGGTGCCTGTGAGGACCCAGGTTCGATCTCAAGTCGGGTCGACGGGATTGGCACAGAGGATGAGACCCAACTAGGTCACAACAGTTATCCGACATCTCCAAGCTTTTTACTTCATGTATCATTTACTCTTTACATGATGACAATAAAACAACAAAATCACTACACCCCAGTGAATCTAAAAAACCTTAGTTCCATAACTCTGATCCAACGCGTTGTGAGATCGTTGATAAATTAGTAATACCAATATCCCTTTAGATGACAAGTCATAGAACAAAACTCGCCCTTTCTCTTTTAGGGTGCATGAAGTTAGTTCTAAGCCGTAAGTGACATTTCGAAAAATAATTAGTTGAAATTATTAGTAAAAACAAGTTTTTCGGTTCTTTGATCGTTAACCACTCATGTTAAAAGATTGGAAGTGTGCCATGCTTCTCCTGGCATACCAACTTTTCAAAGTGGGATGATGTGGATACATGAACTTCGAGTTTTTTTTAACAATCTATTCCCAAAGTGAAGTCAATTGTCGTTCTTTTCCACCACTTCTCAGACTTCAAAGTTAGGTAAAAGTTTATGTAACCCTACTAGACGTCACATGGCAATGTTTTGTTTGCTTGTGGTCCAAATTTTCAGGACAGTTGTTTTCGCAGACCGTCTCAAAAATACCGAAAGCCACGTTGACTATTTTGTTCTCTCATGACAGTAACTCAGTTTTATATGCTTATTTTTCCACATTTGACTATGGTTAATCTTTCACCCACCCCCCACCTCTGTAACTACCGAGTAGAACAACCTTGTTCCTAAAGCATTTATTTAATCTAATATATATTTTCTTGGTTTAATGCACAGACACCATGATCTGTGTATTGATGGTATGGTGTGAATTTAACTCTTTGTGAGTTCATTAATTTTCATTTGTTGATGAAGACGAACTTTGTACACCTGTTTCGTTCTTGAAACAGTTTGTCAGCACTGTACACATTTCTCTCGTTCCCGTTAAGAAACGAACCGCGAACCTCTGCGGGTGAAGAGCTTAATCCGTCATTCCCGACAGCGAATACAGTAAGCGATTTGTCTGGCCGTCTCGAATTCATAGGAAACCCAGATCTGTTTATGAATCTTAATTCATAGCCTTTTTGTACATAATTGGTATGTACTTGGTCGTTCAAGTAACTAGTTTGGAATGGAAAATGAAAAACGATCTAATCAGCTGCCCGGTAGCATGCTTGCGTTCTGCTCATGAGGCCCCGGGTTCGATCCCAAGTTAGGTCGGTGGATTCGTACTGCTGATGAGACTCAACCAGGCCGAAACAGCTGTCCTGTGCTTCCTGGATTTTCATTTCATGCTTCATTCGCGATATACACGACAAATACATCTTTGAAATTGAACCAAATCCTCCATTACTCACTTGAAATAACTCATCTCTGTTTAATTCTATGCATACCAGCAAGGAACAGGTATCAGTGACAGTTAGCATACGAGCGTTGAACAATGTCCCCTGTCAGGTGAATCCTAATAATGTCATTATCTGCCACCATTGTTGTCGAGAATCTGCATAATTACAACTTTCTGTGTTCTAATTATACAATACCGTATTTTCGTCAAATAAATGCAAACATGTTGAAAAGATCGAATAGACTCCTGTTAGTTAGAGCTGAACGATTGGCTTGCTCGTAACTTAGTTTACAGAAAACGGCTCATAAATCAAACATCGTTTCACGTATGAACTAATTGTTTAAGCCAGATAGATGGATTCACGTTTGTTTGGGAATACATGTGCCGAGGCTGGGTAGATGCTGAAGGTAACAACTCTGAGGAACTAGTGCCCACAGATAGCAGGCTGACTGGTCAGCCGACGGACTGATTAGCTGGTTGAACGAATGATTCGAATGATTTGATGGTGAATGTGCGAGTGTGAGTGCATGTGTGATTGGGTGAAACTAATGTATCTTACGGAAGAAGAACAACAGTCGGAGAGTGAGACAGAGAGGGAGAAAGAAATGCAGTGGAACCAGAACCGTTGCCCTCATTTTTGGGAATGGTTAAACTAGAAAATATGTGGGCGAGTGACCTTTTCGTTGTTTCCTGTGCGTGGGCTTCGTTAAGACTGTGCCCATGACAAGCTAAATATGGAAGTAAAATTGAGCCGACAGTGTGCTTTCAATGTCTAATTGGGAAAGCGTTAAATGGGCAAAATCAAAGCGTTATAAGACGCTGCATTTTGTTTCAGTTTATGTTTGGAACATTAATTGATTGCAACTATACCCTCCCTTCTTGTTGCATAATTTGTTTTGTTTTTTCAAGTGTGCAAATGTTTAAATGGGTGCTAGAATGCATGATTTGAACGTATAATGCAAATTGTTTGGAAACGTAAAATATCCGTAAACGGTTCAGATTGAGAACATCAAACCCGAACCATTCATCCATGAATTTATATGCATCTGGTGAGATCAGTGTTCCTGGTCTTAGGAAGCACTGTTCAGTTTATACAATTTACGAAACCATGTGATTTAACTAGATTACTAACCTTGGTTGTTTGTAGGCTGGAGAATAGACTTCCGATGGATTTCAATTACCGAAAATAGCTTACCCCGGTAATAAAGATATGTCAGTTTGCCGCAGCTTTCTAGTCTGCGACACATAGGATTTTGGTAAACACAGCGTTTTAATTAATCCATGTGGGAAACAATTCTATGATTCGACTTTACCTCGGTTGGTTAGATGCTACTAACCACAACAAATTTGTCCGAATGCCATTTTTGGAAAATGACGGACAGAATTCCCGAAGTGGTCAGACAAAATTGACTTTCATACCCAGGACTGATGATTACCACCCGTAATATGTGAGCAGCTCGCAGTCTCTCATAAGTCAGTCATTCATGTACTTGAACCTCGGATATGTACCCTCTTTCCGTCAGCATTAATAAACACACATTACCAGCCATACCTTGAATATGGCTGATCGAGATCGCCTTTTGTAACGAAATATAATACGATTTTGCTATGGGACTTCAAAAGAAGCCGTCTCTTTTTGTTCCTTACGTCCGATCTCAGTTCAACCACTTTGCTCACACCAGCCCAATCCAACCAGGAAGAAGCAGACTCTAGAAACCTTAAACAAAACTGTTTATGGTCCGATTTCTGTCATGAAAAATGTCATATCTTCTCGGGTATGCTGCGTGTCCCCTCTTGTCTCTCTAAATTACATTTATCCCATCAAACCGATCTATTTAAGATACAAACGAGAAGCGGTATGCTATTTTAATTTGAGACATGTTGTTATCGAATTATCGCAAATCTTTTAAAGTTCGTTGTTTCTACTGAGTAAATCTAGTCTATTGGTATTATTAGTCCAAAAACATCAACAGAAATTAATGAACACAACCAATAATTATCTAAATTGTCACACATCATGTTGAGCGCCGAACAAGCTTGGTTTTGATGATATCTAACAGTACAAATACATCGTATTGTGTATCACTAATAGGAGAGCAAAGAGTTAGGTTGAATGGAGAATTCGGAGCACTTATTACTGGAGGTGAGGTGATTACATCGAATTCGAGATGCATAATTTTCAAAAACACTCACTTGATCGTCAAACAAGACTAGGGATATAGCGGGTGTACCGGGGTAGACCATAAAAGTGACTGCATGCATTGTTTCAGGACACCGAGAAGATATTGCACAGAAAAATTTTCTTTCATTCGGGGTCAGTATAGGCAGCAAATCTGTCTTGACAGTGGATAGGGAAACCTGTACGTGGGGCCAATGCCTCAACCGCATTC